CTGGAAAGAAGCCAATTATTCTGCACCAATGAAATACAAAGGAGAAAAAAAACTCAACCAGTCAGTCAACTCCAATGAAAAAGATTGAATAAGACATGTGCAACAATGAATTATTTATATGAAACAGAAAGTGTTAATTGAATGTCAAAACTAATACTTATTAAAAAATTCCAGAAGTAAACAAGCTGGCTTACCTCTTCGAAGAGGTGGTCTAGTAACACTGTTATTATCCAAGGAATACCTTGAAGATTCTGGTGGATGAGATGGAGTGTAACTAGCACTAGGTCGTGAAGAGGTGAATGTCGGTTTCCTATTATAAGATTGAACTGTGGTGTTCATAGGTAATTTGGAGCGTTTGGGCTGAGGTGCAGGCAGTTTATTTTCTAATTTAGATGCTAGACCTATTTGTGGTGGTCCATTGTAACTATTCATCTGATTTGTAGCTGGAGGGTTCTGAAATTAAATTGAAAAGTTCCATATGCATTTTGAAGAAAATCACTGATTGCAATGAGTTTGATGACAGGCTTCACAATCATATCCTATATATCAAAATCATGGCAAGCTCAAGCCTTCTACCATCTTTCAAAGTATTCCTGCTTTGTTTTCTTTTTGGGGAATTTAAAACTATTATTTCCTTCAGCAATTGGTCAAGGGTTAATAAACAAAGCATTTCATTCATTTCATATCTAACATAAGCTTGATCATAATACAATGAAATATAACTTCAAGTGTTTCATTTTTAATATGTGAATTTAAGGAGTCAAAAATAGTTATTTATTTGGTCTCTTCAATATCAACAACTCCACTCTGGAGATGTCTTAAAAGTAGACCTAGAATACTCCGCTAAAAAATGAAGACACTTTGTCAACAACTTACCATAAACATCTCCTCTTCATCTTCTTCTTCATCAATACTAATTGGATTGTTTGATTGTTTGGGTGGCGATTTCTTCACAGTTGCTAAAATATCCGGTAACCACGATGGTGATAACAAATCTTTCACTGTATCTGTTACTTTTCTATACAATGACTGAAACATTAAAATCAAAATCATGACAAGTAATTAATGGCACAATTCTGATACTTTTTGTTACTCACCAACACTACTGACAAACAGGAAACATTTACTATGAACATGTTATAACATCAGAAACAAAACTAGAAAATAACATAAACAAAAAGCTAAATAACAAATCTTATTTTCTAATTTTTAACAAAAACAAATTGTTTCGCAACTTTTTATTATCCTTCTTTAAGTTCTTTATCATTAATAGATTCCAAACCGCAAAAAAAAAGACTAACATAACTCTGTTAACTTTCACTCTCTTTTAAGTTTTAGTTCTATTTTACATGTTCTTGGTATGTGCTTAATCAAATTAACATAATACTATAGTTTAGAGAAGGTTTCAAGACATAACAAGCATTCAAAGTATTCTAAGCTTAAGTTTACATTTTTCAGTCTATAATTCAACATGTCACATTAAGCGTTTTTAGAAGATTGGATAAACTCGATCGATTTACAACAAATGCGTTTACGGGAAAAATTTGGTTAACCTGATTCAGTAAATTTTCACATTTACGACATCGATTTGGTGAATCGAGTGCGATCAAAATGGCGTCAACAAGGTAAGTTTCGTCATTATTGTATATTTAATATTTTCATGATTCCAGTCAATTTTAATGCTGACACCGTTTTCCATGGATACAAACAAAAACACTGATTATTTTTTTTGCTTAAATTATGATTGTTTTTAATATAGAATGACGTGATCTACAATTCTTAGTGAAAATCTGATGAATATATACCAGACTCCTCGGCATCTCGTATTTTCAGTCGACACTTACTCTGGAAGACAAATGATAATGAAAACCTACAGCATAAAATTACCCCAAGTTGGTTCCCATCTTCGACTTCTAAATTCAAGTCATTCTGTTAGGTCTAGACTGCTTAAAAACAGACTTAAAGGGGGTAACATCGACAGGATATCATAAGTGTACATGTATAGATATTGTAAATCTTCGGGGATTTTATTTTTTTCATTCTCACGTGTGTACGTGATTTTAATACTCACCTTTCTCCTTTCGTACGGTTTTGATGCCGATTGTGGACGTTTCAACTTTAGCTTTCCGCCTCCGTCGGAAGCCATTTTACAACGTTAAAAAGAAATTATATGTCGTAAATCAATATTTATCCTTATTTACAAAGCATTTTTATCTTTCTTTTCTGTCTCGCGGTTCAATGGCAAAGATGGCGGCAACCCTGATATTTTTTGATTGGCTTATTTCTAGGTCACGTGCCATGTATCTTGAGTCAAAGGTTATGAATTCAAGCGAAGACAACTCAAGAAAGAGCTTAGACTAAGGCCTACAATATAGTGTCTAACTTACATGATGACCCCCCCCCACCCCCCAAAAAAAAATATATATATACATAGTTGCCACCAGAAATGGGTTTCTTAATTAGGCTTAAGAATAGTATTTGTGTCTAAATCGCAGAGGTTTATTAAGCTATAGGCCATATATATATGGTCTTAATGCACACTCCAGTTCACGCAGTCCCGTCGTAAATGAAATATGCCTAATAAATTTGTATAAGTCCCCAAGTTCAACTGACAGTGAGAGAAACCAATGTTAAAAACATGCCAAACGCGGTAGCTTGGTCACAAGAAACTTCGTCATCAGAAACTCGGCCACACGGTAAATTATAATTGGTCAAAATAATATTATATGGTCTTTATCTTAAATTCTTGCTTTATGAATCAAAGCATAATAATGTATAATGTTTCATAGTACTGACAGCCTATGGACATTACTTTTCTTTACCAGAAAACATTCATTTTCTGATCTGAATGCAATTTCTGATACAGTAGATCATATAATGTACGATCTGGAATAGACCGAAACACCTCTACTTTATTCCAGCCTCTGATAGCTTTTTGGACAGATGTCAGCTGGTGTAGAGACAGACATAATAATTTTAAGTCCGATTAAATGGGGATATTCCGCATCTCCGCATCTCCGCAGATGCACGTTTTTTAAACCTATTTAGATACCATGGATCTGCAAAGCCAAGGTAGCCTATATTTAGAAAGATAAATATTTTTGTAGTTCAGCTATATCATTTTCTCCATACACCATTATGTCATGTCTGCGGTTCCATCATAGGTCATTTAAAAGCCAAAAGTTCAAAGAGTCACGTGATGCTGACGAAACGGAAAGTTACGTTGAATGCCCAGCACTAATTTACAATCATTTTAAAAGTAATTCAATATTATGTTAGAGAAGACGCATCTTTGGAGGTGTGGAAAATCCCCATTTAACAGGGTCTATTTTTTCTGACTCTACTCGAGCTGACAACTGTCAAAATATTCATGAGAGGCTGCAGATGTTTAGGACTAGATCTGGAAGTGATTTTGTTCTGAAAATTATACGGGTATGCAATCATACACTAAAAATGGTTTTGGTTCCATCTTTTTTATAATAAGTATCCGATACTATACATTTTTGGTACATTTTTGAGCACAAAAAAGTTGTAATTGGTGTAGATCTGAATTTTCTCCCCGGCCTCTGCTGGCGTAAATTAAATTACAAATTATTTTTACCACCACTTTCACCACCAAATTTATTTTTGTCAAGTTAGCCAACCCAAGGCCGAAGCATGTACAACGTAGCGTAGCCTAATCAAACCAAATGTAGCAAATGTCTCACCTTAAAAGACGACCAAACTTTTTAATAGTGTCTTTTATATTAGGCCCTAATGGTACCATTTTCGCCAGTAGCCTATCACTGTTAGTCGTTCAAACTATTTCAATTGGGTCTGTTGTCAAAAGTAAGTACACCCAGATCAAATTTGGCTACATTTTCACAAAATTTCCTTCTTAAATCTTAGACTTATTTAGTTAGAATTAGAACCATTAAAATTGAGGAAAAGTCTTGGATTAGTCTATTGTCAGAGTTTTGATAAATTGGTAGCCCTTAATTCTTAATAAAGATAAGATCTAAGTAATAAGTAAGAGGTAATAATTTTCTTATTTATTTTATCTAATTATTGGGTAAGATATGAATTAGAAGAGTAAGCAGGTTTGGGACCAAAGAGCAATTTTTATGAAAATGGAGTTACCCCCCTTACATTGTACAAACCACGTGTGTAAACAAACAAGAGATGCACGTGGAGAAACATAAAAAATGACATTTTAAGACATTGGCAATAGGACTGTCACTGAGGTAAAACGAAGTCCATTTGGAACATGTAATCTTTGCAGATTTTGGTCCAGTTTAAGCATGGCGAAGGTCTTTATACTGACATGTTTTGTTAGCACGTCCTTTCGGTGTCTCTGTTTTGCATAAAATTTTCAAAGCCTCTGTCCATATTTTGCTACTTCTACCTGATTTAACTGATCTTCGATCTGTATTAAGCTAAAAGCTTCTAGATCGCCTCGGAATTATAGTTTAGTGCGCATGACGTTGAAAATTTAATAAAAGTAGGTTTAATAATAGTTAATTTACAGCATTGTAGAGGGATTGAATTTAATGGCATCGTTCTTCCATGCTTTATTCAGGTTCGATTTGGATTGGTTTAAGGCATCATATGAAACAACATATTCAGGCAGTGAATTCCAGATGTTCACAACTCTTACTGGTGTACTGTACCAATACGTTTGTATGTTTCAATTTTGTTTCTGTGACTAAAGACGGAGAGGTTAGGATTAAAATACTGACTGTTAAGGCCTCTTGTTGATAGGAAGGAAATGCCCTTCCCTTTTGCATGTAGTAGCGTAGGCCTACTATTGTTAGAACTGTAATATTGTAGGCCTACTGTCTATTCTAGGTTGTATTGTAGAACAGTAACTGCTGTCATTTTCAGATGGAAATAGTAAGAATGGTTAGAGTATATTCAGGGTGAAAAACTTTCTCCTCTTGTTCGTGCAGTGTTTCATTTTTTTTTTTTAGGAGAAATTTAAGAAGTACTAAGACAGGAGTAAGAGTAAGAAGAAATTTAAAATGGATAGTTTTTCTGACACAGACATACCAATATTTCAATTGAATGAAATTGGTTTCCGGGTTTACAGTAATGAAGAAATTAAAGCACTGAGTGTGAAGGAGATATCATACCCTATATCATTTAATAATTTAGCTCATCCTAATGTCAATGGATTATATGACCCTAGCCTTGGTAAGTAACCTGAGTAGACTAATATCCCTGAATTGCCAGCTTCTTCTTTGATAGGAATATTAGAATAAGTAAATAATTTCAGTCCATGTTGTCATTACGCCATTTCATGTGGGCGTATATTGTCGTCACCCATGTCCGTCGGTCCGTCGTTCCGTCCGTCCGTCCACAATTGCTCGTAAACACTCTACAGGGCACAATTCTTGACGGATTTTAACGAAACTTAGTATGTGTGTTCACAATCACCCAAGGATAAACCCTATTGAAAATCAGCGAAATCAAAAAATATTTAGCATGAGTTATTGCCCTTGTTAATTTTTAGCTCGTAAACACTCTAGAAGGCACAGTTCTTGACAGATTTTGACGAAACTTGGTAAGAGTGTTTGTAATCACCCAAGGATAAACGCTATTGAAAATCAGCGAAATCGAAAAATATTTAGTATGAATTATTGCCCTTGTTCTTGCAAACGCGTTCAATTTTTAGCTCGTAAACACTCTAGAAGGCACAATTCTTGACAGATTTTGACGAAACTTGGTATGAGTGTTCGTTATCACCCAAGGATAGACCCTATTGAAAATCAGGGAAATCGAAAAATATGTAGTATGAATTATTGCCCTTGTTCTTGAAAACGCGTTCAATTTTTAGCTCGTAAACACTCTATAAGGCACAATTCTTGACAGACTCTACAAGTCACAATTTTTTTGTTCATAATCACAATTTACAATAGATGTCATTATTTTCCTGAGAAACTATTTTGGTTAACAAATAAGAAAATTTAATTTAATCATTTAACATGTCCCTAACCAGCCACCATACATGTACAGCATCATAAGATACTATAAATAGACCAAGTGGAAAATCCAAGACAGATATCCGATCATAGCTTAGTCATGTGACATCCCAAGATGCAGCAGTTTATCTGATTTCATTTTATAAATGTCATTCAAGAGAAAAGGTTTGCTTAATCATTTCATTTTCACCAATTGTGCTGATACAAAAAATATAAAACAATGTGTACTTGCTGTAAAACTTCATTTCAAAGTATTTCTCGATTTTATGTCAACAAGTGCTAGAAAATAACTAGTAATTCTTATTGTATATTACCATTTTCAATACATTCCAATTATTTTGATTCTCTTTGCGCTTCAATTCTAATCATTATTAATCACTCTACAGTATAATCCATGTGATTTTAATTCAGCTTGAGTGTTTAGTGACTAAATTCTTTTTCACAAAAAGGTTTTTGGAGATACACAACTTGATAATGGTCTGGAGATGCACAACTTGATATTGGTCTGATTCTTGAGAGGTTGATATTAAGTAGCTTTTTTAACAAATTGAAAAGATTATATGATTACATTTCGAACATTTCAACTTCAACTTTGACTATAAACTGAGGTCAAGAATCAATTAGCAAATTGAAATCGATTATTGAAAACAGGCTACTGATCAAAAATTTTAATGAAGAAATCTTCTGATTTCCGTCTATTGATGTATATGGTTGTATAAATTTGTCATTTATTGATATCTGGTTCATAGAATTTCTAAAATGTATAATCATCACATATAATCTGATGTGACTTGTCCAATTACCATGTAGAAGATCATGTTGAAAAAAACAAATTTAACTGACTTTTTATCATTTACAAAATTCGATAATCAAAATTATATATTGATTATTTTTGCCCAGTCCTAAGTAGTCGCATGATCATAAGTATATTTCATAGATTTGTGTTAGTGTACATATTATTATTTTTCTAACTGTTGTTTTTACACAGTGCTTTGTATTTATTTTAGTTTATTTTATTATTTGAATTAAAACTTTGTTAATTTATCACATTTTTTCATATTCCTGTGGCACATTGAGCAGTAATTACTTATAGAATTATTGCTAATGGATAAACTGTCATAATAGTAAAATTCAATTCTTTTCTTGTCCTTATTAGCCAAGACAGCTGCAATCAAGTATACTTACAAATCCATTGCATTTCATGCAAACTAATCAAATCTTCGAGAAAAAAAATGTAAGGATATAAAAAGATTAAATTCAACAGGAGAAAAAAGGTGGTAAATATTAGCAACTCCCACCTGTCATAAACTCGATACATAAAACTTTAAAAAAAATATTTCAACCTAATTTGCTTGAATATAATCTGCAAATACGCAATTCATGACAGACTTATTGAAATCACCCAAGGATAAATCTGATCAAAAATCTTGTAAAACATGTAATTTTTATTCTACAAAGCAGAAGTCTAAAACAAATTTGACAACTTGATGAAATTGATCACAATCAAAACTAAACCTTTTGAAATATAAAATACAAGTTATTGCCGTTATTCTTACAAATGTGTTTGATTTTTAACTTGTGATGGCACAGTTTGTGATGGATTTGGGTATAAGTTGAATATTTCCTGGTGTCTATGTCTGCTATTTTCTAACAAATATTCAATTTCAAACAAAGCTATCAGTAGGCGTATATTACCTTGCCTGGCAAGCTATCTTTCCCTTTTGTAAGAAAATTACATCATTTTGACAACAGATGCACAATGGAATCAACTATTTAATTTTATTTATATTGTGTTTGTTATTGTTATTATGGTTTTCAGGACCATATGATAAATCAGAAGTATGTTCTACATGTGGTCAGAATAGTTTCCATTGTCCTGGACATTTGGGTCATATACAACTAGCATTACCAGTGTATCATCCTCTATTCTTTAAACAACTTTATTCTGTAAGATTTATATTTAAGCATTTTAAACTATACACAGTGTATTTGAAGTTTTATCCCGTAATGTACCTCTCCAAATCACAATCAATATTCTGTCCACCTTTGCCCAACTTATATGTGTTTAGTTTATCTTGTCTGTCACATACTACTTATCAAAGCCAAAAAAGGATTTCTGCAATGATCATAACCCAGTTATAGGTTAAATGTTGTAAAACAAAACTATTCAACGCATTTGCCCATGTATGCAATATAGTTTTCAACCCAAACTAACTGCATTCTGCAATTCCTGTTATTTATTTCAGTTGTTGAAAGGAACCTGTTTTGAGTGTCATCGTTTAACAGTAAATGTAGTTGACGCCTGTCTATTTTTTAATCAAGTAGAGTTGTTAGATAGAGGCTATGTGACATCTTTTTTACAATTATCTGAAATGGTATTCTGTATGGTGAAAGATAGAGATTTAAATGACATGTCAGTACTAATTGAAATTCAGGAATTTATTTCTGCCTTTACCAAGAAAACCTTTCAAAGTGAGTAACATACATATTATTTCAGAAAGTTATAGTTAAAATTTATGAGTGGCATGGTTTTGAGCTAGTGCCCTTCTTTGTACATTGCTAACTTTTTTGACAGTATGCAATATCCCCAGGGCCTATATGCATGTATTAATGAGGCATTACAGAGGGAATAAATTTAAATTAATTTCAATTTCAGATGATGTCAAAGAAAAACAGCCAGGATTAAGCCATATAGAATCATGTTATAGATTGTTAGTGAATGATTTTATTAAAAATATGGTTTATATGAAAGCTTGTCCACATTGTAAGAAGAAAAAACAAAATATACGACAAGAAAATAATAGTAAAATAGTTCTTACATCTAAATACACCAAAAAAATTGCACAAGAGAAAGAAAATGAAAAGACTAAGATTAAAAAGTGAGTATTCTTTCAAACACAGAAATGGGGAAAAAAATCTGCTTTGATTGTATTCCAAAGTGGACAACATGCATTTTAATGGCAAAAACATTAATTTTATCATGAAATATCTGTAAATAGGTGTAATCAATTTGTCTAAGTTTATTTTGGAGGTATAATTTATTTTTTTCATGGATTTTCTTTTTTTTTTTGTTGCATACATGAGACAAGTCATTGTTTAACACAATTCTAATCTTATACATGAATACTTTTGTAGAAAATTAAAACCAATGGAAGATGACAGTAGTACAGAAGGAATGGATCTTTTAGATATGGAAGATCCTAAAACTATAGAAGAGACAAAAGACTCTGAGAAAAGCCAAACTGAAAATATTTCTAAATTTTTTGAAAGCGGTAGTGAACAGACACTGTTGACTGCTTCATCAGTGAAGGAACATTTACGTGTTGTGTGGAAGACTGATGAACTAGTGTTAAGGAATATCTTTAAATCTTTAGATTTCTGTGGTACCCAGTCTTATCCAACTGATGTTTTCTTTTTAGATGTTGTACCTGTACCACCCTGTAGATTTAGACCAGTAAGTACCACACCAATTTGACTTTCATATTTTTAAACTTTATGAATTACTTTTTCCGGGATAGAATCAATTTAGAATAGTTTTAGTAAAACAATAAGCCACAACAATGTTACCTATATTATGTGTATTGGAAAATGATTCATGTTGCATTACATGTTTTCTGCTGTCACTCCACTCGCCATCCATGATCTGACAAATTGTATCTGTGCAAATCTTCTAATATTCAACCAATCAAATGCTCTGTTCAGTGAAAATTGTCCTTACATTGTATTATCTAAGAACTTTAAACAGTGTTTTTGATTTGTTAGCATTTATCAAGACATCTTTTGAAGCTTTTTGGACAAAATTGTTTTTGTATATCTATTTTAGTTAGCATTTCGAGCTGGTGGTTTTAGTGAACATCATCAATCTGTCAGTTTAAATCGTATTATAATGGATAATGTGATATTAAAATATATACTTCAATCTAATGATAAAACACAGAAAATAGACAATGCTACCGTAGATATTGAAGAATTTGCTCAGGTTTGTAATCATTTTCAAATTTACAGTTCAGTTTCTTCCAAGAAATCTGTTAATGTATTTGTTTTTAAGTAGAATACAAATCATCAATTAATAGTGGACCAAGAACGAATATATTTAGTTCTTACAAATTTTTTCATTCTTACAATTCTATTACTTAATGAACTGATAGGACACTTAAATATTAACTGAAGAGTTGAAATAATGTAAAGAAGTAAAATATTTACATGTTTTTCAGAAAGCATTAAATGGTATAAAAGGCAACACAATATCTGAGAAACTCCATTTTTGTTGGCAGACATTACAGATGCATGTTAATAGTATGATAGATAGTGATACAGATAAATATACAAGATCAGATAGTAAAATGCCAGGTATCAAACAGGTAAAAGAACAGGAGTTACTGCCCCTGATATGTTCAAATTATGGTGATTAGTAGATATTTCTTGGACAAATTCGCCCTCCCTCTCTATTTGATATGATGATATGTTCCACTGTGACTTATGTATGTGTATTGTTTTCTGTTTACATATCTTGGCTGTATAAATATTGCATTGTTCATTTCAGCTACTAGAGAAGAAATCTGGTTTATTTAGAATGCACATGATGGGTAAACGTGTCAATTATGCCTGTCGTTCAGTAATCTCCCCTGATCCTTGTTTAAATACCAATGAGGTTGGTGTACCATTGGTATTTGCTACTAAGTTATCATATCCTCAGCCAGTTACTATGTGGAATGTTCAAGAATTAAGACAAGCTGTTATAAATGGACCTTTAGTACATCCAGGGTAAGTGATAGACTTGTAAAGACCTTCAGATAGCATTAGAAGAGAAAGAAATGTGTTGCTAAGCTGTAGTTTCAGTGTTTACTCCACTTATAGGATAAGTAATGCAATTTGTAGGATCTGACTTGCAAAAATGTCTTGTTGTTTGGATAAGACATTTAATTGAGGCCCTGTGAGCTACAACCTTTGAACAATCGGATGAAGATTGAAAATAGCCTAATGCTTTGTTCCTAACAGAATCATTTCTATTGCATAGTACATAATTGTATTGCATTTCAATTGACTAATAGGATTTTACTGTTCCATCACATCAATTCATGGTAGTGGGTTTATTTGACCCAAAATAAGAATATATATTTTTATAGAGCATTATTTGTGGAGAATGAAGATGGATTTCTAACCAAGTTAAGTCCTAAAGATAAACTACAGAGAGAGGCTTTAGCTAAACAACTATTAACACCAAGCTCAACAACTACATCTTTATTAGGCTGTAAAAAGGTACAGTATACTTCACATATTTTCTCTATGTACAGTTTTCTGTCTAAATGAAGTTTGATGTCAGACAGTTGATGTCCAAATTGAAATAATTTATAGAAATTTTGTTGATGGATATTTGGCTCAGATCAATCAGAGTTATATGTTTAGATGATAAACGTAAACTACTTCATTCTTTGCAATATATTTTTTCAATATGTCAAATTGTAGGAAAAGCTAGTATAAAACCTGTATGTTTTAAAAGCATGATTGTTAAGGTAATTGTTGCAGTTTATACATATATATTTTTTCTATCTGTTAGGTTTATCGTCATTTAAAGAATGGTGATGTAATGTTATTAAATAGACAACCTACATTACATAAACCCAGTATACAAGCTCATCGGGTAATTATTAATATTCCTTTGAACTGATTTTATTGGATGCAAGTCTGAAAAAAATGTTAGTATAGAAAACCTTGGTAAAATTGTTTTGATTGGATAGTCCTTTTCAAGAATATTATTTGTTTTATGCAAATAAAATGAAAGAAGGTGTACCACTTTTATCTTGTAGCAGACAAGTACTTGTCCTGTTAACAGCTCAATTCTTGCATTGGAAAAAATGGAAAATAATAGATATTGTAGAGATACATTTGAAATAAATTTGAATGTATGTTATATTCTAGGCACGTGTATTACCAGGACAGAAGACATTAAGAATGCATTATGCTAATTGTAAAGCCTACAATGCTGATTTTGATGGAGATGAAATGAATGCACATTTTCCACAGAATGAAATGGGCAGATCTGAAGCTTATTCATTGGGTAAATTCTCTTATAATTCTAAATTATTGAAAGAGACATTGTTCTGTAAAATGGGAGGTTGCAAATAGTAGTTTTAACCCTACTTTAGGATTCCTAAATCAGGTCAATATTGCCTTAATATATATCTAAATCTATGAGTTGTCTACTCAGATCTGATGTGTAACTGATTTGGAGTTGAAAGATTTTACCTTCATTAATAGATTTGTCTTGTTAATTTCAGCCAGTACAGATTTTCAATATTTAGCACCTAAAGATGGAGCTCCATTGGCTGGGTTAATTCAAGATCATATGGTATCAGGAGTAGCTCTTACAATTAGAGGCCGCTTCTTTAATAAGTAGGTTTTCAATTCTTAATTAATCTTCAATTACAAGATACAAATCTACAATAATATGAATACAGTATGTTGACATGATTGTTATATTAAGTTTGATTTTGTTATTTTAAAGGGGTGATTACTTCAACTTGGTATATTCAGCTTTATCCAATAAATATAGTCGAGTTAAAACATTACCACCATCAATAATTAAACCATATCAACTGTGGTCTGGTAAACAGGTAAATATTTCAAACATATTATGAGTTGTTATATTTTGATTTATTATATTATTTTTAGAGTAAAACTATTTTGAATAGTAATATTATGTTATAATAATATTTATATATTTGTAGGTATTATCTACTGTATTATTAAATGTAATACCAGATGATAAACCACCATTAAGTATCAATGGAACATCTAAAATTGGAGAAAAGGTATTGGAAAATTTTGTACTTTTTGAAAGATGGCAATGTGTTTATTAATCTACCACTCACTCTGCCCTGTCCCAATATAGTGTGAACATCTCTTATCACTTTCCTCGGTTTTGAAAAGCAGACATTGATTTTTTACAAGTCTATGTCTTTTTTTTCTTCTTTTTTTCAGAATTGGGATAATATCAAGAGAGATATAGATGATAAGTTAATAGATCTTGGTGAATCTACAGTCACTATTCGACATGGTGAACTATTACAAGGTGTTCTAGATAAAGGACACTATGGTAATACACCTTTTGGTTTGGTTCATTGTTGTTTTGAGGTAAGATTCACAAAGATCTCTTATAAACACCTTAAGCAATGGCTAGTTGACAAATGCAGTTGCAGATTGACATTATGTGTTCTTGTATAACTTAAGATATTTATTGTGATCTTTATTTTGATTATTTTATGGAACTCTGTAAAAAAAATTTTAAATGGCCTTGATACACATAAAAGACTAGAAAACCTATTTACAACCATTTATATTATTATTTGAATAAGACTCAAAACCTTCAATAAGCAGAGCATGTAAAATCCTCAATTGAAAGGTATTAATGGCCCTTATTTATTTTAGATGTATGGTGGTAATGTGGCAGGTTTGTTACTATCATGTTTAGGTAGACTATTCAATGCTTATCTCAAATTACGTGGTTTTACACTAGGTGTGGCAGATATTCTAGTTACAAATAAAGTAAGTTTTATAAAAAGTTTCTAAAAACAAACAATACAAGATTCAAATATTTTACAAGCATGGCATTATTGATCTTAGCTAGGATCCTGTCTACCATTTGGTCCTTTCCTCTTGGCATTGATTTTCCCCTGGATGATCCATTCCCTTTTACATTACTAATGTCTGTCTGAAATAAGGAAAGTCTCTATTATTTCACTTGCTGATCTTTATTAAAAAACATTTCAAACTCATGTTCTGACTGAAGTTCATTTTTCTGTTGAGAGGATTATCGACAAACTCAATAATTGTGTCATAATTGAGTTTTGGGGAAACTTCAAGATATGCTAGCTAAAAAGCTGAGGTGTAAAAAGGCATATTATGTATGAACTTAATTTTTGTGCCAGTAAAAACTGAACTTATCTGTTATGCTATCTTCTTTGAGAACTGACCTATATATGAAAAGATAAAAATGTACATATATTTGTTTACAGGCTAATAAAAAGAGGAGTAAAATAATACGTAAATATCCTAAAGTTGGTAAAGAAGCTATAAAGAAAGCTCTAGGTCTAGAGAAGTCCGCTTGTGAACAGGAGATGGTTAGTGGGTGGAAATCAGCACTATATAATACTATAGATGATAGAGGACTTAGAGAAATTGATGCTGGTATGAAAAATAAAACTGATGATGTTCAGAACAAAATATCAGGGTAAGTTGTGGAATGAATTGATATTGGCCATTTTACCTGGAAAGGTTATGGATGCATAATACCCAACATTTCAAATAATAGGGAGAAAATACATGATATTTGGAACATCCTCTAAATGTAACCATGATGTTATTAGAATGTGTTAGTTTCATATCTTGTGACATGTTGGAAATTTAGATGGTCTGGAAAATCATGTTCTTTGTGACTCTTCATAGTCTTAGTTTTGAATACTCACTGTTGTTCATCAAAGATTTTTCAAGATTATATGCATCTCATTTTCAGATCTTAAATGACAAGTAAATGACAATGTACAGCATAAAATCTAATTCAACCTCCTTTCCAATACTTACATCAACTTATGGAATAGTATTATTTTATTTCTAGTGTATGTATGCCAGGTGGATTAGAAAAGAAATTTCCAGACAATAATTTACAATTAATGGTTTTATCTGGTGCCAAAGGTTCTATGGTACGGTAAAAACAAATTTGTTGAATTCTCTTCCTAGCTATTTGATATTTTAAGTAAAATGTTTCTAGCCTTCTTTCATTTTTTTTTTTTATATTCTCAACGTTATTGTTAATGAATTGTACTCTCATTAAGTCAGTTCTATTTCTTCAGCTTACATCTATAGACCTGAAGATCCAATAATGCTCTCTCAATCAACACTGAGAGAAAGTCTGTAATACTCTGGTTAGTGAGTGCTTCATCGGGCAACAATTGCCTTATTCTGCAATGGACAGAAATTTATTTTTTTATTTCTATAAGAAATCTGATCTTTGATTATGTATACCTTATTCAGTAAGACATGAATATTTATTTTAATGTTTCAGGTGAATTGTATGCAGATATCATGTTTATTAGGACAAATTGAATTAGAAGGTAGACGACCACCACAGATGATAAATGGCAGTACCTTACCATCATTCTTACCCTATGATACTTCCCCTAAAGCTGGTGGTTTTGTCTCAGGAAGATTTTTAACTGGTATCAGACCACAGGAATACTTTTTTCACTGTATGGCTGGTAGAGAGGTAAAGATATTCAAATTTGACATAAAAAGGATGTCGGATTTGAGAATAGTCTTGAAATATGAAATAAGTCAGTTTTTTATGAAGAAAATTAGTGTCAATATTTTGATCATATCATGAAAACTAAAATTAAACAAAAGTCATAGCCTGAATCTCATAAGAAGAGATCTGTAATATAACTATTAGTACTTTTGGACACAGCCTGTTGAAAGAAAGATAGCTTATGATCTTTTGATCTTCTTATTTATTTAGAAATTTTTTATCATACCACTGTAGAGTTGATATTTACGTTTAACATGTCAACAGGCTGATAATCATCATTATTAATTTCATACAGGGTTTAGTTGATACAGCTGTTAAAACTAGTCGTAGTGGTTATCTACAGAGATGTCTTATTAAACATCTAGAAGGTGTGATAGTTAACTATGATCTTAGTGTTAGAGATAGTGATGGTAGTATAGTACAGGTATATATAATATTTATAGACAGGGAGAAGTGAAAAAAGAATGCATAAATAAAATAAAATTGAATGACATGACATGAAGCTCTACATTCCACTTTTATGATCCAATTTGGTGAAAATACCAGGTTTGTAATGAGGGAAATTTTTCCAAGGTGGCCACATTAGTCAGCTCTTGTTTTGATTCCTTACGTCTAGAGGGCTTCAATGTGCATCATGTCTGGTGTGACAAAATACAACAGCATTGAAGACTCTTGAGTGTTTTGTTTTTCAGTTCTATTATGGTGATGATGGTTTAGATGTTCAACACACACCATTTTTACAACCAAAACAATTCCCTTTCCTAGTACAAAATAAACACACAGACAGTACCAACACAATACCTACAGATAAATCAAAACATAAAAAAGTTAAAAAGACTAAAAAAAGGGTATGAAAATAATTTCTCAGTATTTTCACTTACCAATACGTTCAATCATTACATTGTTTTGTATGTTGTATCATTTTCTAAACCAATGTCGAGGATGAACATTGCAAGGTTGAAATGATGTCAAATTCAACATTGGTTTATTGTTTTGGGTTTTTGTTTGATTCCAGATTAAGAAATGGAAGAAATCTAATAGTGAGAGTGAAGTTTGTAAACAATATAAATCAGGATTTCTACAATTCTGTTGTGATAATTGTAGTGAATTAACTATAGACAGTGGTGGAAATAAAACTCAAAATGGACGCTCAAAGTCAGCCATCTTGCTTTGCAAAAAATGGAGAGAACTCAATGAAGAGGAGAAATATAAGTAAGTGATCTTTGTTGATTTTGTTTTGTCTTCGTCTTGTTTGGTGTTGGAGTAAATTGAACACCAATTTGTAAAAATAAAATCCAAACACTGAATTTGGTTGCAAAAAGATCTCAATATGTAGTTTTTAAGTCACATAGGATTAAGAACTTGTAAAACTTAGGGCTGACTTTTTATAATTCCACTTCCAGGTATGAGAAGAATACTGTAGCCTGTCCAGACCCTGTATTCACTCATACATGGCCACATGAAGATACTGGTGTGAGATCAGAGAAATTAGATTATATTATAGATAAATATTATAAAGAAAACTTTAATACAGTGAGTATATATTTTATATAGGCATTTCTGCTGAATTCTGTATATCTGATGTAAAGTATGTATTCTGTATATCTGATGTAAAGTATGTATTCTGTATATCTGATGTAAAGTATGTAGTTTATCTGATGTAAAGTATGTATTCTGTATATCTGATGTAAAGTATGTATTCTGTATATCTGATGTAAAGTATGTATTCTGTATATCTGATGTAAAGTATGTATTTTGTATATCTGATGTAAATTATGTATTCTGTATATCTGATGTAAAGTATGTATTCTGTATATCTGATGTAAAGTATGTATTCTGTATATCTGATGTAAAGTATGTATTCTGTATATCTGATGTAAAGTATGTATTCTGTTTATCTGATGTAAAGTATGTATGCTGTATATCTGATGTAAAGTATGTATTCTGTATATCTGGTGTAAAGTATGTATTCTGTTTATCTGATGTAAAGTATGTATTATGTATATCTGATGTAAAGTATTTATTCTGTATATCTGATGTAAAGTATGTATTCTGTTTATCTGATGTAAAGTATGTATTCTGTATATCTGATTAAAGTATGCATTCTGTATAGTACTAGTTGTTGTACTAAATGGAAATAATTCTAATTTTAATTTTTGAACTGTTTATATTTTCAGATGTTGAATGATCTCGGTTTACTAGAAAAGTTTAATAAGAATGATTTTGAATGTTTAATCAGTGATAAATTACAACAAGCTTTAGTACAACCTGGTGAAGCTGTAGGCTTATTATGTGCACAGGTATGTTCATATTCAGGGTGAATTCAATCTGATAGCATCAGTTTTACTGGTTGATGCTTCAGTTGGGTAATGGTGTTCAGTCTTCTTATGTGTTGTCTCTTCTCTGTAATATATCTACATACTTGCACAACAAAGTATTACTGAAATCAAAATAGAGTACAGATAAATCACTCTTCAGCATAATATAGGTTACATCAAGTATACCAGAAAATTAAAACGTTTATATAGGCCCACATGAATATGTGGTCGTATATTGTCGTTGCCCCTGTCCGTCGGTCCGTCCGTCTGTCAACATTTCTTGTGAGCACTATAGAGACTACAGTTTTTATCTGATTTTGATAAAACTTGGTGTGATGCTTTAGATTGATAAGATCTCGGTCAAGTTCGAAATTGACATATTTTCGATGAACGGTTTTTGAGATATTGCCCTTGACTTAGAACGCCTTGAAAATTGTTCGTGAGCAGGATTGAAGCTACAGTTTTCATCCGATTCTGATAAAACTTGGTGTGATCATTGGAATTCATAAGATCTCGGACAAGTTCTAACTTGACGCATTTTCGATGAACGGTTTTTGCGTTATTGCCCTTGACTTTGTTAAAACACGTCGAAATTTGTTAAAAATAGTTCGTGAGCAGGATTGAAGCTACAGTTTTCAACCAATTCTGATGAAACTTGGTATGATCATTGGAATTGATAAGATCTCAGACAAGTTCTAACTTGAAGCATTTTCGATGAATGGTTTTTGAGCTATTGCCCTTGACTTAGTTAAAACGTGTCAAATTTTGTTCGTGAGCACAATAGAAGTTACAGTTTTCAACCGATTCTGATGAAACTTGGTGTGATCATTGGAATTGATAAGATATCAGACAAGTTCTAACTTGACGCATTTTTGACGAACGGTTTTTGAGTTCTTGCCCTTGACTTTGTTAAAATGCGTCGAAATTTGCTAAAAATAGTCTGTGAGCAGGATTGACGCTACAGTTTTCAACCGATTCTGATGAAACTTGGTGTGTCTCATTGAAATTGATAAGATCTCGGACAAGTTTTAATTTGACGTATTGTCTGTAACGGTTTTTGAGTTACTGCCCTTGACTTTGTAAAAACGTGTTGAAATTTGTTAAAAATAGTTCGTGAGCAGGATTGAAGCTACAGTTTTCAACCGATTCTGATGAAACTTGGTATGATCATTGGAATTGATAAGATCTCGGACAAGTTCTAACTTGAAGCATTTTCGATGAATGGTTTTTGAGCTATTGCCCTTGACTTAGTTAAAACGTGTCAAATTTTGTTTGTGAGCACAATAGAAGTTACAGTTTTCAACCGATTCTGATGAAACTTGGTGTGATCTTTGGAATTGATAAGATATCAGACAAGTTCTAACTTGACGCATTTTTGACGAACGGTTTTTGAGTTATTGCCCTTGACTTTGTTAAAATGCGTCGAAATTTGCTAAAAATAGTCTGTGAGCAGGATTGACGCTACAGTTTTCAACCGATTCTGATGAAACTTGGTGTGTCTCATTGAAATTGATAAGATCATCGGACAAGTTTTAATTTGACGCATTTTCTGTAACGGTTTTTGAGTTACTGGCCTTGGCTTTGTAAAAACGCATCAAAATGTGTTTGTGAGCACTATAGAAGCTACAGTTTTCAACCAAATTGGATCAAACTTGGTGTGATCATTGGAATTGATAAGATCTTGGTCAAGTTCTAACTTGACGCATTTTTGATGAACGGTTTTTGAGTTATTGCCCTTGACTTATGAAAAACGTGTCAAAATTTGTTTGTGAGCACAATAGACGCTACAGTTTTCAACCGATATTGATGAAACTTGGTGTGATTTTTGGAATTGATAAGATCTCGGACAAGTTCTAACTTGAGATATTTTTGATGAACTTTTTTGGGTTATTGCCCTTGACTTTGTAAACACGCGTCAAAAGTTGTTTTTTGCCCTTGATTAGAGCTGTGTGATTTAATTGTTTGTTGGGTTTGTTTATTGATATTGATTTTAAAAAATTTTGTGGAATTATTCAGCATAAATAACTGGCATATACATATATGTAATTGAATTCAAACTAATACAATTTCTTCAATATGAGAAAATTCATACTTTAGTCACTAAAGACTGTTTTATCATTTCTGACAGCTGCCAGTGGGCGTATGTTACCTTGCCTCGCAAGCTGGATACCAAACCAAACTGTTAAGGAAGTATACTTTGTAGTTATGAATGAGCATTTATTTTCAGTCAATTGGTGAACCATCCACTCAGATGACCTTGAATACCTTTCATTTCGCTGGTCGTGGTGAGATGAATATGACATTGGGTATACCTAGGTTACGTGAAATCTTAATGACAGCTAGTGAGAATATAAAAACACCGGCCATGGACATACCAGTCCATAATACAGATACAGCACGATCTAATGCTAAAGATTTACAGAAGAAATTATCAAAAGTTAGATTATCTGAGGTTAGTAAACAGTATACTTGTTAAAATATTGTTCCATGTTAAATATTAAAGTCCTTATGTTCATGGTTGAATATGTTACACATTATTAGACTCGATAAATATCATATCTTTGATGCATGAAAAGAATTTATAATCTGCAAATTTAGCATAGAATCACAACATTGTATCATGAATACCATTTTTGACATGGTGGAAATTAGATAGGTGGCATTTAAATCAAATCAGTAGAACAGAAATGAGGTGATGTAAACAAAACACAACACCGCTTTGCTGCCGCCCGTTTGAAAAGATAAGAACACATTCTTTCCAAATAAATATTCTCTCAGCTTCAGTTCTTTAACGAAAATCTTAATCAATTCTGTACCGTACATATTCATCAAAATATGTAATGGCACACTGCTTTCGTCATCATAACGAGTAATTTGTTGGCTGAAATTTGCTACCAATACATTAGGCCAATTTGAATTGGACAATATTTAGCTATGAATACGTAATTTTTCTCACTTGGGTTACCACGGCCCCAAGGAAGTATGACGAATGGTGTGGTTTGGACACGATGGGAATCACAATAACACAAATTTATATTATCTAAAGGAATATTTTGCTTGTCATTGATATTGTTGCACTGCAGCATACATTTAATGTATTGGATACTTACACTGATGTTTGTGTATGGTTTTTACTACCATTTCTCATCCAATTTCTCTTATTTTAGGTGATGAAAGATATACAAATAAAAGAAGAACTTTCAATTGAGGGATTAACCACATTGTAAGTTCTTATTCACTACATGTCCTTAATAACAAAAGAAAATGACTGCTACTAAAATGTAAGATGTTGTACATTTGGTTGTTTTATTTTTCAGTAATCGTTACAGAAAATACAAGATACATTTTGAGTTTTTATCACCAGAATGTTATAGAGATAAGATGTCAGTTAAACCACATACAATATTATTTTATATAGAACAAACTTATATTAATCAACTAGTAGATGTTATTAGAAAACAGATGGGATTATCAAGGAAATCAAAGTAAGTACTAAAGAGAAAGTAAAGTGTAACAAATAACATTAGTAGAAAATGTTGATTCAGTTTGAGAAAGTCTGGAGATTGAAATAAGTTGAGTGAAGACCTATAGTAATTTAGTGAGAACCTATAGTAATTTAGTGAGAACCATTTAATTGGGTTGGAAATTAAAGGTTTAGCTGCAAAATTATGACAATGAGAAATATATGTAAATTGAGCGGAATATTTCATTAGAGGTGCCTTCTCTTTGAGTTGCATATGTTTGCGAATAATGAAAATGGTCTTGTGTACTGAACGTAACTCCCAACTCAAAACTTCTGATTACAATCCATATGAAACTGATAATTTAAGTTTTGAGGTTGACAGAATAACAATGATGTTAATTATAGACTAGTAGATACTGGTAATGTTAGAGTACAAGAAGAGTTGAGAGGAGGTGATGGTGGTAAGGATGATAATGATAATGATGATGATGATCTGTCATCTGATGATGATGATGATGGTGATGCTACTGCTATGAAACAGAAAGAAAGGAAGAGAGATACCCAAGAATATGTGGGAGAAGAAAATGAAAAAGAAGAAGCTGGTATAAGCGATGAAGATAGTAAGATGAAATCATCAGATGTGAAAACTATGATTAATTTATGAAAGAGAATTTTTGTTTAAGAAAGATAATTTGAATATTACGAAATCACAAATGAAAAATAAAAGAGAAAATAATTTGGCTGTAAATTGAAGTTATGTTAGAGCAATCATGCTTTCATATAAAGTCCATCAATTGTTTGTGCTTGTTAACAAACTCCAGGACGTTTCTATTTGATCTGATTTTAGATGATGAAGATAATGATGATAATGTCAATATGAAAGATGGCAAAATCATTTCTGATGATGATAAGAGTGATAATGAAAATACAAGCAGAAAGAAAACATCTGATGTACAAAAACAGTCAGCCAATGCCAGAATTCAGGTACCAGACTTTTCCTTATTTCCTTGAAATATGCGACTAGATTTACAATCATATGATACTTTATTTAATTTTAATTAGAACTTGGTACCATGGTGAATCATTATAATTATCACATGTTAGATTGTTCTTGTTTACTTTTATTGTACATCAAATATCTCCTGAGTTCAAATGTTAATGTAGTATGTTTAGAGGTAGTGAAAAAGGTAAACCCATTTTCAATAAAAAATCTTAAGGCTTTTTTAAACTAATGTTTCAGCATGTGTTAGCATCAAACCCAGCTATAGTAGATTATAAATATGATACTAAAAAACAGTTGTGGTGTGAATTTGTTCTACAGGTTTGTAGCTAATATTTTTTAATAACCAACAACATAGTTGTGAGATAAATTTTAAGAGTCAAGTGAGATATCTAATTCAATGCATCATAAGCTGTTTAATTTTCAACCTTTGACTTTTATCATCTTATTATGGTTATGGTTGTCACACCATTATTAATGGAAAGATCACTTCAAAATCTTGTGGTTAATTTAGAAGTTAAGAGAGCTCTTTGATAGCCAATGAACAAAGCTTTATTCTATATGAACATGTAGTTGCAGCTTCCTACTGGTTTTTCAAACAATTTTCATGGTTGGTTATACTTTGAACATAAACATGATATTGATCCTTTTTATTTTTTTGAACAGTTTAGTTTAAGTGATTTAAGATTAGATATAGCATCAGTAGTACAAGATCATGTAAAGAAGTCTGTTCTACACTCTGTACGTGGTATCAATCAGACTTATCTTAGTGAAGAGAAAGAACAAGGAGAAACAATCTTACATTTAAAAACTGAGGGTATTAATTTTCAGGTAAGGCAAGATATTCTTAATTCTTTAATAACATGTTGAGAGGGAAACTTTCACATTTCCTTAGATACTGAAGATACTTTCCACTAGCTAGTTTTTAACCAAACATTTCTCATATTCTTGCTTTATTACTATACACATCTACAGCTATGTTAACATCTACAGCTATGTTAACATCTACAGCTATGTTGACATCTACAGCTACGTTGACATCTACAGCTATGTTGACATCTACAGCTATGTTGACATCTACAGCTACGTTGACATCTACAGCTACGTTGACATCTACAGCTACGTTGACATCTACAGCTATGTTGACACCTACAGCTACGTTGACATCTACAGCTATGTTGACATCTACAGTTATGTTGACATCTACAGCTACGTTGACAACTACAGCTATGTTGACATCTACAGCTACGTTGACATCTACAACTACGTTGACATCTACAGCTATGTTGACATCTACAGCTACGTTGACATCTACAGCTACATTGACATCTACAGCTATGTTGACACCTACAGCTACGTTGACAACTACAGCTATGTTGACATCTACAGCTATGTTGACACCTACAGCTACGTTGACAACTACAGCTATGTTGACATCTACAGCTACGTTGACATCTACAACTACGTTGACATCTACAGCTACATTGACATCTACAGCTACGTTGACATCTACAGCTACATTGACATCTACAGCTACGTTGACACCTACAGCTACGTTGACACCTACAGCTATGTTGACATCTACAGTTATGTTGACATCTACAGCTATGTTGACACCTACAGCTACGTTGACAACTACAGCTATGTTGACATCTACAGCTACGTTGACATCTACAACTACGTTGACATCTACAGCTATGTTGAGTAAAATATTTACAAGATAAGACTTTCCCCTGATTACCTAGATAAAAAACTTATGACCTCTATTTCAGATTAAACTGCTCAACTGATTGAGTTGTTTTGTTTAAACAGAATGTAATTGTAGCATGCATGACACTAGTTCAAGCACTGTGCCATGCTATTTTACAGTTTTTAATTGAACTAAAATGAATTTTTCTCTGTTTAACAGGAGGTGTATAAGTATGCTGATATATTAGATCTCAATAAATTATACAGTAATAATTTTAAACTCTTCTCACAGACATATGGTATAGAGGCTTCAGCTAGAATTATACAACAGGTATTATATATTGACTCAAACATTTCGTCTGAGGAACAGTTATGTATTTCCACCTCATCCAGGTCTTTAAGTAGACCATGACAGAACCATCCGATACACTTTCTTTCTACATAAATTATCTGAAAGATTGTTTTGCGTTCACATATATATTTTCATGGCTTCAAATTAGTGAGATCCATCCGAAACAGTAATTTTGGAAAATGACCCATACATCTATCTACTTTCAGGAATTAAAGAATGTATTTGGTGCTTATGGTATTTACGTGGATCACAGACATCTCTCATTACTCTCAGACTTTATGACATTTGAAGGCAATATAAGACCATTCAATAGAATAGGCATCAAAAACAATTCCTCACCATTGTTAAAAATGACGTATGAAACAACCATGGCGTTTATGGTAGATTCTAGTATACACAGTAATGTAGACAGATTAAAAACACCTTCATCACGTATTATTGCTGGTCAACTAGTTTCTTGTGGTACTGGTAGCTTTGATGTTCTTCAGCCTTTAAAATAACATGAATTTAGACATTAGAATAATGTACAATCTTCAATCTTAAACATAACATTCATTGAATGTACAAACTGCATTTTTCAGTTTTTAAAATAATAGAAAAGTAATGTCCAATCTTCAATCTATAAGGTATGTCCATTCTTCAATCTATAAGCTATGTCTATTCTTCAATCTATAAGCTATGTCTATTCTTCAATCTATAAGCTATGTCCATTCTTCAATCTATAAGCTATGTCCATTCTTCAATCTATAAGGTATTTCTATTCTTCAATCTATAAGGTATGTCTGTTCTTCAATCTATAAGGTATGTCCATTCTTCAATCTATAAGGTATGTCCATTCTTCAATCTATAAGCTATGTCTATTCTTCAATCTATAAGCTATGTCTATTCTTCAATCTATAAGCTATGTCTATTCTTCAATCTATAAGCTATGTCCATTCTTCAATCTATAAGGTATGTCTATTCTTCAATCTATAAGCTATGTCTATTCTTCAATCTTCTTGTTGACTGAAAAGATAATATTTATCTGGAAACCCTGTAATTCGCACACTTTTTACTGAAGGAAATTGATATAAGATTTTACTGGTCATTGAAAAATGTCCGGTTGCCAAAAAAAGGACAAAAGAGCCTTATTGGATATAAATCCATGTGATCTGATATATTGTTTCATTCATTAGTAAAAATTATTATTTCTTGTGTATTCTTTATTTACATAAAAATAATGAAGATAAATTTATAAGTGTTCTTATTATTATTGATACAATAAATAATTGTATAAGTAACTATTGTAAAAATATGTAAATAATATTAACAATAAAGTTCTCCTGTTCCTTTCCTGTTTTAGCTTCCCCTTATCTTTGTAACCCAATATGTCCTATAAGGGGGAAAGATGCTAGAATCAATATTCACTAAGCTACATGGGTTTAACGTTCTCTATAAAAGAAAAATAACATAGTCCATTGGCTGGAAGGGCTCACCACAAACCGAAACTATATTTTTCTGAAACCTTAAAATATAATGTCTCAGAATATCCATGTTAATATTGGATAAGATGGGACTCACTGAAAACATTCAAATCAAAGGCAGGTTCAGACCAATTTAGCGACTGATGAATGAAAAACCTTTAAAATTATGTTAAAGTTGTACTATTATGACGTCACTATAATCTACACACCTTATATTAAAGATACACACCCAGCTTTGTTCTGGCGATGGTGACAAAATTAAAAAGAAATGATTTTTAAAAGTTATAGCCGATGACTAAATGATATCGCTAATATCCACTCAGTTATTACATACAACAATGATGTTTCTGCTGCTGCACCACCAAAGTCCTTAGCCGGGGCAATCCCTCATTGTATGTTTAGGCCCCTAGCTCGATGCACTCTCAGGATTGTGGGTCCACATTAATGATCAGTTACTGCGCATCGGTGGTGGGTTTCCAGCTACTGTTGTATCACTTCATCGACACCCTGCAGCTTAGGATTTTCTCTGGACTGCTGTCCGTCTGCTTCTCCCTGTTACTCCTAATGCAGAAAGCATTCTCCAAAGTGAATGTACAGGGAAGCCTCTGCACCCAACTTCCACTGGATAACTTTGGCTTTTTTCCGCTCGTGGGCTTCACTACATCTTTCCTCCAATAGGATTGTCAATTCAATGATGACGATCTTTCTTGTTCCTGATGACCGAAGAGCCATATCTGGTTTGAGATTGGTTGGGACTATCTGTTGGAATGTCAAATCAAGATCTACGGCTAACTGCCAGTCTCCAGCTTGATGTAATATTCCTTCTATCTACTCTAGATGCTATCTCACCCTCTAGTACAAAAAGGATCTTTGTGGGCTTATTCTTTAGATGTTTCTTCCTGTTTATTCTCTCCTTTTCTATGATGTCCGCCAGCTCCCTTAATACTTGGTTGTGGCGCCATGTGTACCTTCCCTGTGATAGAGCCACACGACATGAAAAGAGTATGTGGCTTAATGTTTCTCTCTAACCACACAGGGGGCAATCTGGTGCATCTACCAAGTTCCATCGGTGGAGGTTAACTGGTGTTTGTAGCACATCATACACAGATCTTAGCAAAAACTGGAATTGGAACTGTGGGTATCTCCATATTTCCGACCAAGTTATTGATGTTTTGTCCTTTTCCCATCTTGTCCATGCTCCCTAGATTCCCATTTCAACTTCTTTGGACTCTCGCGTTTCCTTTTCCTTGGATCTGATTTCTCCTTGGACCATATTCCGCTTCTCAGCTCATCAGCATTCTTCCAGTAACTGGTTGTAGAAATTCCCAAGCCTTGTCGTCCTACTGCTACTGTTCCAACAATAACTTTTTGTCGTAATCTGCCCTCAGTCTCATTTACTGCACTGGATGATTGCCAGTTCCTTCCTGTCCGCACTTGTACTCCAGCTAAGCGCACCTTGTCATCTTTGGAATCTTATAAAGTCATAATTAGTCCCAGTCTTGAATTCTTCAACTATAGATGTCCGCGGAAATTGAAGCTTGGCTGATCTGCTGTAAAGGCCTATTGAAGTGAAGCTTGGAGGAACTCCAAAGCATTCACAGAGGTGCATTTTGACGATACGCTCCATCTTTTCAACTGTTGTGCCAGAAATCTCATTTAGCATCAGGGGCCAGGCTAAACTAGGTAAGAGCCTATGTTGGTATATCCAAGCTTTGAACTTCTCTGGGAGGCCTATTTTGTCGATATTCCGCATCCCCTCACATACCTGTTGTGTCACTTTACCTTTCCCAAGGACAAGTGCTCTAAACCTCTTGGGTTTAAAAGTCATTCTTGTCCACGACGCAGTTTCTTCTAGAGTCTTTAAATCCATCTAGCTTGTATGTGGATTTCTGTGGTGATTGTTAGTGGTTGTCGGATGTTGCTGGATGTTTTTGGTCCCCTAGTTTCTCTTTCTCATGCTTTTATAATGTCCATTACAAAGAGGATAACTGAGATGGTACATCCTGTTATCTGTTATGATGCCCCTCTGGAGTTTTTGTTCAGATGTTGTGAAGCTAATGGTGGTAAATTAGTAGTAAATCGGATGTTTATCCCACTGAAGTAGCCCTCTGAAGTGTTCTGGAATGTGGTAATGGATTAGTGGTTCATCTATAAGCCTATGTGGGATGGTCCCATATGCATTAGCTAAATCTAACCATACTATGGTGAGGTTCTTTTTTGTTGGCCTTAGCTTCTTGAATTAGCTGTGTAATGATGCTGGTTTGTTCAATGCACCCTGAAAGTATATCTTGCCAGGCAAGGTAACATACGCCCACTACCAGCTGTCAGAAATGATAACAAAATACTTGGTGGCTTAATAATGAATTTTCAAGTACATGTAATCTTAAAATCATCTATAAGTCAAGGCAAAAACCTGAAACAGTTCATCAAATTATCATCAAATTCAAACAATGGGCACAAGGACAGCAACTCTGAAACTGTTCATCCAATTATTACCAATTTCGAACTTGACTGAGATCTCATCAATATATACATGTATACCAAGTTTCATCAAGATCGGAAACAAACTTCTATCGCGCCTACAAGAAATGTACGGAAAAGAACGAACGGACCGACGGACAGGGGCGAGAGCAATCTAGCTTTCTTGACTATGTCCTGCACTTCTTTCAATGTCGGTTCCTTCCGATCCATTGGTATCTCTGGTTCTGGTGCCCTTAAATTCACATGTGGTCCCCACTGTTGTTCATCACCATGTGTTTCCTCCAGGTGTTTCTCAACCTAACCTCCTCTTTTCCACTACGTGGTGTTCCTGACCGAGTCCCGTCAAGTGTTGATTTGGTAAATCTATATGGATTTGCTGTAAACATTGCCCTCTTTTTTTCCCCTTTGTCGTCTTGCTTGCCTTATTCTCTCTCCCTCAATGAATTAATGATATTGATGCTATTTTCCTATGTACATCTCCAACTAGTGTGTTGTTCAGAATCACAAACGACTCCCATCTTTCGTCATCTGTTAATGGTCACTGTATCGCTGATTTCCTTTGATCATCTGCTGGGTCAGGATTGGTATGTGCCGGGTTTGGTGATCCTCGCTCTGTTTCAATGTTGATCTGGGTAGCCTCAGTAGGTAAGAGGTCTTCAGCGCTGTGGTGGTCATCCTGACTGTCTGATCAGTATTAGCTGTGAGTTCCTCCTGTGGCTTCTATTCGTGATGTGGGGTCTTTCATTCCCCCCCCCCCCCCCCCCCCCCCACCTCTCTCGGAAGACCCGAAAATTGATATCAATTCCCACATGGTAACACTTCTTAAATATAAAATGAAAATAGGTTTTTTAGTAAAGAAAATAGAAATAATCAGATCAGTATTGGCCCTTTCACAATTTGTGTATTTAGAAATATGATAATGTTTGGTAGATTTGTGTCGTTTCTATATTGACATAATGACATTCGTGACATTAACAATAATTAAAGAGTTATATATAACATGAAAAATAACTAATACTAATACAAGCACTATGGTGATATCGTTATTCAACAATATAACCTTGTACTACTTGGTAATTGAATCCTTATGTATTGCTTTATAGGGTTTTCTCTCTCTCTCTCTCTCTCTCTCTCTCTCTCTCTCTCTCTCTCTCCAATTGACAATTGTATAATTATACGATGCCCGGGTAATCTAATGCATTTTTACGCCAAAAAATTTGAATGTTATGAATATTGCCCAAATCAGGAATGACTCGTAATAATATGAAATCCATTTTAACACATTTATTATCGACTTTTAAAGAAATCCTAATCCCATCTTCTGACCCTCAATTTCGGTCAAAATTAAAGAAGTAAATCATGAAAATGTAGCATTGAGAGTTGACAACCCTAAATAAACATTGCTGACTTGAATTAAAATCTTATTAAACCAGCTTCAAAGGTGGCCGTTTACAGGATAATAAGATTGACCGTGACATTTTTTACATTGATTATGTACATAATGAATTTCTTACGTTTATTTTTTTTATATAAATGTCAGTGTACTTGTTGGCATT